ACACACACACACACACACACACACACACACACACACACACACAAGAGAGAGCACAAGCAGAAGTGGAAACACACTCGGAGCATGCACAGGCATGAAAAATGAATTCTACTCTGCCTCATGTAGAACAATTAAGAGAAAAAAGGCAAAGCTGTCAACTTTTAAAGTTGAGAAGTTGGAGTTATTATTAAATTATTGATGAATAAATACTCAACTTTGTACGTTTAAATAACTAAAAACATAAATGTCTTCAAACAGCTAACGGAATCTTTTGAATATGAAAACTTAAGTAAAGAACAAAAAAAAAACTATTTCATTGTTGAAGAAACAGTAAATAAATTTGTTTTGCAGCAGTGGTTATTTACTATCGCCAGAAGTCAAAKGATGAGGTTTTTGCCTGTGTCTGTCTGTTAGCAAAATATCTCACAAACTACCGAACGAATTTTAATAAAACTCTCAGAAAGCAATCAATGGATGAACATCTTGGAGTTCAACACAAAAAAAACACACAAAAACAGCTGTAATTCACCTCTTTTACTGATGTGGAGCTAAAATCTGGTGTGGTTGTCACTGAGACTCATTTGCAGCTCTTGTTTAGTCTCACTGCACGAGTTCTTTGCCTGTAACTGTGGCATTACTTGTTAAAGTCAACACTGTTTGTCTGTTAGCAAAATATCAGAAGAGCTACGAGATGAAATTGCATGAAGCTTTCATAGAAAATCATTGGAGTCAATCCGGTTGAAGATGGCCACCACAGCTGATCTATGAACAAAGTTTATTTATTAGTTAATCTGCTGAGGCAGTAGCTGAGAGTCAAACACAACACATGCTCTGACAGTAACTTGTTCTGTTGCATAATGCTCTTTTTAATTTTTAATTAAATAACCACAACTTCAATGAGTACTTATTGATTTTTTAATGCCAATTGGTAATGACTTAAAGTAGATCTAACTGTATTTATTTTTTATTTCGAAATATAAATAAACAACTCACCAGTTATGCACTGCGAAAACTGACCATCTTACCAAGATTTAAAATCTTATATCCAGCCAAAAAGTCTTCTTGATCTTGTTTTGAGACTGATTTACTACATAAGAACAGATTGTGTAAGAAGAATAATCTTGTTTTCAGAATATGTAAGATTATTTGTCTTGTTGGTCTGAAAATTTGACTCAAATTAAGTCAAAAAATGTCTGCCAGTGGAGTAAGAAAAAATTTTAAGATTCTTGAAATAAGAAAAAATTGAGTCAAATCAAGTATTTCAAGAATCTTACCAAGTAAAATTTTCTTACTCCACTGGCAGAAATTTTTGACTTAATTTGAGTCAAATTTTCAGACTAACAAGACAAATAATCTTACACATTCTGAAAACAAGATGATTATTCTTACACAATCAGTTCTTGTTTAATAAATCAGTCTCAAAACAAGATCAAAAAGACTTTTTGGCTGATATAAGACTTTAAAACTTGATTAGGTGGACATTTTTTGCAGTGTGTAAGGTAAGTAAACAAGAAAATGCAAGGGTTTTTTGTATAGGTGCTTTCATTTAAAGCAGCTAGGATTAGTATCTCTAATCTGATTAAAGTAGGTGTTTGTTATCGAGTGGCCATTACTCTCAGGCAATGTAAGAAAACATTAATCCCTGTTAGGCTTTCAGTAAACTCTCTTTACTCTTACTGTCTGGGGAAACAATCATGTCCCGTGAACGCAACACGTGTCAAAAGTCAAACAAACGCTAATTAAACAGTTGACAGTGATCAGAGCTCCAARATGTTGGGAGTCCTCTCAGTCAGAGCAGAAACCACTTCCTCATTCCTCCTTCACTTTTCACTTCCAATTGGATTTGCGTCTATTTTCGCCTCTAACCCAGCCCGAGCCAAAGAACCTGATTTCAGCGGGGCAGTAATGTGGCTCACCTTGGAGCCACTTGGTGACTCTCTCCTCGCTCCACGACGCGATCGGCTCCATGTTTGGAGTCCTGCTCCAGTCGCTGGTTCAGATCCAGGCGCTCCTGGCCGACTTCTACCTCCCGGGGCTGCTGGACGAAGGAAAAGCCGATCCTGATTCGGAATCGGACGAGGACGAGTGGCACTCCTTCACGCAGGTACAGGTAGAGCGTACCCCCCACCTCCCCCTAGTGTTCAGCCAATGAGTGCGGAAACTGACAGGCTCCACCAGAAGACTTGAAGTCGGGGACCCCTCCCGACCCTTTAGTGTTTTCTAGACTTTCCCCCGTCCTTACCTGGAGGAACTGAGTGCGTCAGAAAGCTGCCGCGGCTTTAAGGCTCCAGAACTTCCTTCATATTTTCACTTTAGTGTCCAAGTTGCACCATCAGCGTGAGAAAGGCGCGGGGCTTAACCACACATAACAGGATATGAAGGTGGAGGAGGCGTGGGCAGAGCTGCTACACCTGCCTTCTAACTTTACTCAAGAGAAATACCTTAGAMCAGTGGTTCCCAAACTTRTTATCTTCTGACCCAAAAAATATTCATGGCGAAAACTTGTGACCCCAAATATTACTGGTCTGAGTACACAAACTTTGTTAATAACTCTAAAAACACAGGCTTTTTGACAATCTAAACAGCTTATACACAATTACAAATACTTATTTTTACTTATTTTGTGTTTTTGTAGTAATTACAGCGAAAATATTACAACAGCAATTATTTTATTACCCTTTAAATTGATTTCTGGAGATTATCCAAGGTGCTTCATGACCCATAATTGGGTCCCAAGCCCAACTTTGGGAACCAAAGTGCAGTGGATCCCAAACTTTTCAGCTTTTGACCCACAGAATAACAGTAGAGACCTGTGACCCCAACTGATAAACATTTGTATCAGGTCAACAAAACATGGGCATTGTAACAATATTTTTATACTACATTTATC